AAATTAAAGGTATCTTGTATTATTAGATATATTATTATAAAATATGCTTTGGTTAAGGAGTTATTGATACTTCAAGTGCAAAATGATGATATAAAACCATGATAAAAATGCACTTTTAAGTACTAATCACTATGGAGTTACGAACAAATATGAATTAAAAGAGTAAACATATTCTATGCTCAAAACATTTAAATAAAGAAATTTTAAATAAAAAGATAATAGTTATACTGAGAAACGCGTTACTAAAATGTTAAGTCAAATCACATATAACTTTCATAATATTTAAGAGATCATGACACGTTGCTAGATATTATACTTAATCTTTAAATATAAATCAATCAATTTGTTAAATTAATAATAAATTCAATTATTTAGTTTATTTAATCTTGTTTTATTTATGATTGTGATTTATATTTTGGCAAATATATAAAAAACTCAATGGATCTCACATATTAAAAATCATTAGTAAGAAATTGGACTAGGATGACTAATCAAGTATGATGTAATTGTAAATAAATTTTAGAAATTGAAGACTATAATATAATTTATATAAAAAATTATAATTTAAGACTTAGAAAAATCAAACAATTACTTAATTGCATAAATTTCTAAAAGCTTTTTATGAAATAAAATCTGCAATACTTTTCAGGAGATAAAATTATATTTTTTCATTAATAAAGATATTAAGTTTTTTCTGTTATGCCTTATTTTTTTTATATAAATAAGTTATAGAAATATACACAGTAAAAGTTAACACTCAAAACATAGCAACCATCTCTTTTAAAAAGGATTTATGATATTTTTAATGCAGTGATTCATGTTAATTATTATTAAAAGGTAAACATTTAGATAATTTTTTATTTGCAATATCCTAACTCGAAAAATTAATTAAGTAATATATAGAAGGATTAATATTCTAGTAATTATTACCAAACTCTAAACAATTTTATATCATCTAACAATATTCATAAGACTAGTAAAATTTTTTATAAATTATTATTTTTATTTTGTTTATATCTTTTGAGAAATCCAATAGTACTGATTTGGGTTATCTTGGAAACGTTCAAGTGGTAAACCGATAAAAATGTAAAGAAGATATCTTAGTAGAGGTCAATGAGTTGAGGGTGCCAACCCTCCACTAAAATGGTGGTAAGGTAATCAATAACCAGTAAAAGTGTTGCATTATTGTAATTGAGAAACCTAGTTACAAAGTAATTAATAACTGCATGCAGATAGCACCATGTAAAGGAACTGGTTGATCCTCTTATATAAAAGATATCCACATAGTTTGATATTATATCACCTAACAAGGACAACACATCACTATTATTATGGAAAGCCAAAATCAACATATCAACAACACCATGTCCCTCTAATTTATTTATAAATAGCGTTACACCACATCAATTCTCTTTGTTATTTCATGAATGTGAAAACAAGGCTTAATTCAAAAATTAAAAATTGATTATTTTTACACACCTTTATGAAAAAATATAAAAATATAAATGAGAAAATCATATAAAAATTTCAGAAATAGATATTTTATTCTCTTAATGTGAAAAGTACTTTAAAAAATTTATATATTAGATCTCTAAATAATTATTTATAAAAAAAATCACTAATTTCATCATAAAAACATCAAGAAACCTCAATAAACACATTTTATACCGTATGAAATGCCATAAAAAGTAGTTTGGGTTATTCTTGTTTTCTGGGTTCGAGTCATCGACAGCATAGCAAATTTCACATAGCAACAAAATTCAATTCAATGCTAGTTGAAAAATATTGTTACAGCTAGATAAAAATATCCTTGGCGCATGGAAGATACCTAATAAACAATCTGTAGCATCATAACACATTCATTTCGGAGTTTCAAACTCCGCTGGCCTTCGCCTTACTACTAGCTGAACTCATACGGATCCATATGACTTTTCAGTCATAAAATGAAAGAGCCAACAAAAGTTCTGGACTAGAAATTTTACACCTGAGCACACATGACAAGGCAAATAGGTCTCTACACTTATGTCCTCCAAAACACAGACCAGCTATTGTCATACCACAGCTTCCTCATATTTCTCATTCTGCCATGGCATCCACTGAAATTTCAGCAGCAGCTGGCTTGGGCTTTGTTTTGTTCTTACCTATGAATTGAGAAGCAAAAGAACACAGTGGTCAGAGAATTACACAACATCAAAGTATGAAAATAATAAATGACAGAAAAGTGCAAGATCACTCAGCATCAGCAATATGCAGCTTCGATTGCCAAACAGAGACTTACCTTTGCGCTTCAATTGCTTAAGCTTCAGGCCCTTCTTGTTAAATTTTGCTGGTGTCCTCTTGACATCTTTGGATGTGCCCTCACCTGAGAAATTAACTTGCATCAGCTTTATTATAATATCCTAAGTAGAAACCAATGCAAGCTTGAAGTCAGTAATACTTGCAAAAGCTTCAATATAGTTTCCATTAAATTAACATGCCATGGTTCAAATATTGCTACAAAAAAAAATTACAGATCACATGGCAATAACTACAACACTTGTCAAGGGATTTTTAACAACTATGCTCTGCAGGGCCAAATGGGAACTTGACTTTATCCAGAATGGTAAATGTGGAGAAGCATTCACTTCATAAAACAGTCCAAGATTTTCTCGTATTGTTATTAAGCCAAATTTACCCCACTAGAAGAGGAGTTCTTAGGAATATCTTTGTTTTCTTTGTATTTTTTTTTTTTTTTAAGAACGGAACTTCTAAATTGCTTTTACAAGTAGCCAACATTGATATCAAAATTTTCCTACGTTTCTAATTGTATTTTACTTCCATGTACATTTCAACACCCCAATAAGTAATTACGAGCTATGAACAGAAAACTTTTAAATAGCTTCTAAAACCTGAAAAGGGATTGTATTGCCCTCATTCGTATGGTTTTATCATTACGGATTAAAATAAATGGCCTAACTCTTAACAAGATTTAATTTCAAAAACTTCCATTTGATTAGCATAATTTTATTGTTATTTTATGCTCTTCAATCCAGTCTATTTTTCCTGGCTTTCGACAAAATACAAATACACTTATTGCTGAAGCACAGACACTACTTTACAAAAATTTACATCAAGACAACAAAACTATTGCATAGTAAATATTCCCACTAGAACCTAAACCCACTAAAACCCTCTAAATTTGTTTTTCACCTAACACCCCAGTAAATAAATAATTCGGTAGCAATATCATGGCCCCATGGGTTGTTACGCCAGTGGTGGCTTTAAATCTACAGACAAGAACGGAAAGGAAGCACGTAAAATCATTAAATACCAAAAAGAAATGCGCAATGCTTTGTTTATACGGGCAGAAGATACAATCAACTTCTTGAAAAAAAGTATAATTTGCTTTACTTTGAAAAATGCATAATCATCAAATATCATCTGATCGTTTTTCTCGGTCGATACTAAGTGTAATCTAAATATCCAAAAACATCACCACAAATTCCAGTTCCTTCAACTTGATGGAGTAATTAACCACAAAAAAAAAAAAATCAATATCACACAAAACTCAAAAAAGAAGAAAAACCTTGCGCAAAAGCCATTTCGACGTCTTGCATAGTGACCAAACCCTTGTCTACAGCCTCCTTCTGTTCCTGCAAACAATCACAAGAAAAAAACAAAAAATCCATACTATACAGAGAAAGTTGTTGAGAGTAATTGAAGAAAACGGAAAGAAAAGGAAAACGTACTCGCCGCCAATTTTTTAAGAGCTTGCGCTTGCGCTTTCCAGAGACAGAGTGGGGCTGAGTTTTGATCTTAAGCTTTTTAGTTAATGCGTCTCCGTGTATTGCTCTTTTGCTCTCGGCTATTTGTGCTCTTCTTCTCTTCTGCACTACATTGAACTTCGCCATCTGATCCCTCTTTCCCTCTCTAGACCTAACCCAACCCTACTCAAACGCTCCGATATTTTCATTTTATATATTTATTTTATGGGCTTCTGACCTGCGGTATTCCTCGGCCTGATTTTATTTTTTTGTTGATCCGATTTCTTTGCGCTCAATATGCTTTTAATATTGCCTGTTTTATTGTTCAACTATATTTTTAATACTTCTCATTTAAAACCAACAAAATAATAATAATAATAATAATAATAATAATAATTAATTCCATGGTTAATAATTTAGTATTCAAATCTCACATAATAACTCCGTACATTAAAAGAAAAGCTAACATGCCTGGTTTTCACGGTAAGTATATTTTTATTTATTATGAATTGAAATAGTAAAATAATGATTTTATCTTAATTAAAATTTTAGGTAATTTTCTTTTAGGGGTAAAATAATATATTTTTACTTGGTTAAATTACTTAATTGATAATTATATAAGATTTTATTATTTTTTATAATGTTTATTAACAATTAAATAACATAGTTATCCAACAAAAAATAATTTAATTCTAGTAGATGATCTTTTCGGGCTTGTTATATTTTAATATACAATAAAATTAAAAATTTGAAAATGAAGTTAAAAATAGTAAGGTATTGGTACAGGTATCATTATCTTTTCAAATTAGTTTATTTATTTATTTATGAATTTATCATATTGTAATTTATCATTTAATTATTATTATTTTAATTGAAAAGGTTATTGGCGTGTGTTGTAAATGTATTAGCATGTTAGAGATGCCACGCATTTTAAACAACATGTGTAGCATCTCCTAACAGTTAAAATTATATTTTTATCATGTCATTTTATTCTTTGTCGTGTCTTTTTTTATTAAAGGTGGCATGGTGACCTAAAGATAATAAGTTTATTCTTAGTAGTGCTTTTTTTTTTTTCCCTTCTTCATTGTTCTCTCTTACCCAAACAAATAAATTCATCCATAATTTTTATTGGTATTTCAAAATCCATTTTCTTAGTTTTGATTTTTGATTTTATCATTATTTAATCCTTTCGTTAATCTTTCCATCTTAAAGTTCTCATCAACTTCTTCTTTTTCTTCTTCTTCTATTATTATTATTATTATTATTATTATTATTATTATTACTACTACTACTATTACTAGTAGTATTATTATTGTAATTATTATTATTGTTGTTATTATTGTTGTTGTTGTTGTTGTTGTTGTTGTT